GCGTGTCTGTCTCTTGGTCTGTGTTTATTTGTTGCCCCCGTGGAAGAACTCTCTTTTTATACTGAGATGAAATTTGCCCTCAAGATAAATTTATCTTTAATGGAAAAAAGAAATCCTGATGTGACACTATTGTCATTTTTAATGAGCTTCTTGGGACAATAAAGGGTTTGTTTGTCTAAAGAGACTGAAGGGAGACGGGACAAACAAAGTGTTGATCTTGTTTTTAATGTACACTACTTTATGATGTTTTTGAAGAAGCGTGAACAGAGAGTGAGAACAGGAGCTGTTAGTGTGTTCAGGATTTGAAAAGGAAGAAGAGAAATAACCGAAGTGTACTGTACAATTCGTATTATATTTTATTATATATTGATTTTTTTTTTTTTCCTTACACCGAGTATCATTTCTTTTATCATTGTTGCTAATGTTTGGGTGGGAGGGAACGAGTCAGGGTCTGACTTTGTAAAACAGCGGGATGAGTATATGTATCGATGTGATATCCTCCCCCCTCCTCCTTGAGCCCCCTTTTACCTACTCCCTCATTGCCACACTTGATGCCCCATTTTTGTAACAGAAGCGTGTACACATAGTTCATTACTTAGGTCCTGTCCAGATGTGTGTTTTCTTTTACCTGTAAAACTAAAACATGTAATATTATTACTAAATTACTATCCTTTTCATTGCCTAAAAGTGAGTTGTTGAAAACCCTCAAATCGAATAAAAAAAAATCTGAAACATTGATTGTTGTCTTAAATCTTCTGTTTCATGCACTCATCTCTTTTTAGTTAAGTGACATGTTATAGGATGTATATTTTAAATGTTCCTGAAATGTTGGTTATTTGATAGTAAATGGAGCATAAAGGAAAGTGCATCATTTTACATGATTAACTGATCTCCCTCACATGACAACATTGTACTGATAAAACTGAGCTTTCAACATCTTTCAACAAGTTTACCTGCAGTTGAATCCAAATGAAGTTGGAGAGATGTAGATAGCATTGAGGAAACGATTAGTTACATGAGAAGACATTCACTGCCATGGTTTTCCCCCAAAACATGACAATGGTTTTTTAATTAGTCACATCTTTGAACCATGAAGTCCACAACTGAAAACATACACTCTGCAGTCACTTCATTAGTTGCACTTTTACTGTACTGGGCTGGACCCTTGTTTTGCCTTCAGAACTGCCTTAATTCTTCATAGCATAGATTCATCAAGGAAACATTCAAGAGATTTTTTGTCCACAGTAACATGATAGCATCGCACAGCTGCACATCTACAATGAGAATTTGCTGTTCCAATACATCCCAAAGGTACTGCTGGATTGAGATCTAGTAGCTGTGGTTGTTCAAGAAACAGAGATTATTTAAGCTTTGTGGTATGGCATTTTATCTTAAATTAACTTCATATGTGCAATAGTGAAATTACATAACTGACAGTGAATATATCTAAAATAACTTTCCTCTTCTTTTTTCTTTTAGAGTAATATTCCACAACTTAAAACATGCTGTTAAAGTTTGTTTTTCCAGCATTAAATATGTCACAGTTGCCATTAAGCTTCTCAGCTATAACCCTAACCCCACGCTCAAGGTCCAGCATAGGACTTAAGTGGGCGTCCATCATGTTTCTCGCACAAAGACAAAAAAACCTTCCATCCCCTCAAAGTTTGTTTTAGACAATTAGCGGATTAAGGATATTTTTATCCACACTTTCTTCCTGCAGGGACCGTGAAGTGGTATCTCTCTCATGCTGCCTGTGAGAAAACACTATGAAAACAGCCTGGCACAAGCTGAGCACCCGACTCACATACAGCTGTGACAAAGCTAGCCTTAAACACCCGAAACACGCAGACAGGTGTGCTCTTTCATGCACACTCAGCTGATCTTCCCGCTCTCAAATCCTCTGCACGTCACAAAATCTTAGAATGAATTATTAGGTGTAAACCCTTAAAAAAAGACCAGTGGGAAGTGGGGTGTGTTTTTTTTAAGTTGTTGCAATACCAACAACCAGTCACTAGATGGCAGCATTTAAATATCCTTTAAAACATGGCTGAGTCCCAAGTGTTGGAGGAAGGGGTGAAGGGAAAATAATTTTGATTCGAAACGCCTCATGAAACTCAGATCACACATTAGTGGAGTCAAGCTGTTGTTTCACACTTTTTGCTGATCCGTGCCAGCGTGCACGCACTCAGCTGCTCTGTGTGTGTCTGTGTGTGAGGCAGATTATTTTGGCTTCTTACTATTCACACATTCCTGTCATGTATGTGTAACATCACTATATCATCATAACATAAGATGTGTAGGCGCTTCCAGGAACCATGAATGACAGCAGCAGAAGTCACGTTTTAAACCAGTTGCATTTTTCGTTCATTTACAGGATGTTGTAATAATGACTTCTGCTAGTTTGGTTTGCAATGCTAGCGTATGGCTAACATTTAAACAGAAATGACTTTGTTTTAGAAGACAAAATAAAGTACACCAGTATTTTGAGGTATGTTTCACATCGAAAAGAGCTCTTTAATAGCAATAATAGTATTATTATAGCCCGCTTTTTATGTAGTTTATTATAATGATTTAATGCTTGCCAAAACATTTGGGTTCTTTTCTAAAGGCCAAAATCACACATATGGTTTTTTTAATTGTTACGTGTCTGCTAACTTGACTTTTGCCTGGATAAAAAAAGAAGATGATAATAAAAATGTTTTTGCTTCTTTCACACTAAAGACAGGAAGCCAAGTTGCAGGTGGTATCTTAAGTGGAGTTAAGAACAAGTTAGCTTTAGAGGTTTGGAGACAAAGTTAGTGAAGTGAGTCTGAGATGGTTCGGACATGTGCAGAGGAGAGATAGTGGAAATACTGGACAACAAGGTGTTGACAAAGACCACAGAGGAGGTTCATGGATCTAGTGGAGGACATGCAGATGTGCTGGTGTGACAGAGGAGAACTATAGGGGTGGGGTGAGATAGAGACAGATGATCGAAGAATAAGAAAAATTAAGAATTTCATACAGACTGGTATGAAATCCACTGATGTAGATTTAGAACTCAACTTTATCTGTCTGGTAACATAGGAAAAAAGTTCAAACATGTAACTAAAAAGCATACAAAACAAAACACTCAAAATATGACGGAAATATTAATAATTAATAATCAGCAAAAATACTTCATTGTAGTAAAAAATCACTGAAATGCTAAAAATGGTTTTAAAGTGTAAACAAAATTAAGAGCTTTTGGATCATTTATTGTTTATTTGCTGTTTATCCGTTTTATTAACGTTGTCTTTGTTTTATGAAGTCCTTGCTGTATTTTTTGTTTACTTTGCCTTAGTTTGTCTGTGCCTTCGGAACATTTACGATGAAAAGGTAAATATGATCTTTAATGGATCCTTCAGAAGTGAAACATAAACACCCCCCTCCTTCCCTCCAACCGTGCTCTCACGCGGCCATGGCATGGGGAAATCTGTGGGCGGAGACTGTGACCTATTTTTAGCCAATAGAGCGCTGAGAGCCGCAGCGAGTGACCTAGATTCAGCCAATAGCAGCGCTGCACAGTCGCCGGTAGGCAACAGTCGGCGCGTGCCGGGTCCATGTGCTTGTTGTTGAGAGCGCGAGAGTCAGATAGGGACATCCAACAGGGAGAAAACAGACGAGGCGCTGCTCATCGGGTGGTTTTATCAGATTTTATTGAGACAATTCAATGACTTTTATTATATTATTTTGAAGCCTCGCAGCAAACAGTTTATGTATGAGTTAAAACATACTCACAATATTCAAGGAAACAGTTATAAATTAATGGTTTCGGTGTACTGCCAGTATAATAGAGCGGGCCTTTATTTAAGTGTCTCTTTTGTTAAAAAGAATAGCGTGTATATGTTTTTAGTGTGGAGGAAATGGTAAGACCGTTTGTGTTTGTTCGCGTTTGAACTCGGGGTAAAAGTAATCGTATTTTCCCTTATTGCTCAGATAAGGAAGTGGAAAAGGTAAACATCCTGACGTTTCAGGAGCTGCATCTCATTTTAGTACACACACACACACGCGGCGGGCTCTGCTTTCGCTGTTTAAGTGACAGCGTGAGAGAAGAGGGGCGGGGCGAGGCGTGTTCACGGGCCATCCAGGAATTATCACATGCGGCCGCTATTGGCTGAAACTTCATGGAGGCGTCACGTTTTAGTGTCAACGTGTGTTGCATTCACGAGAAGCGGTAGCGTTTTAGTAATCTTGTAATTTTACATTTTTATAACATTATTTTCTTATTCTTTTTATTAAATAAATGTTATTTTGCTTAATTTTTTAATAACATTTACCATATTTTTTATCTGTTGTTTTCATACTTTTATGAAATTTAACATATTTTCTTCTATAAAAGTTTATTTTATATTATATTTTCTAGCTGCCATCGTTTTAGCTTGTGTTTTATTTTATGCATTTACATTGTTAGGCCTTCATGTTTTATGTTTGCACTTTAACTTAATTGTTTTGCGTTTTTCCCTTTTTTTTGGTTTATTTTGTTCAGCTTGAACCTAGCATGTATTGTAAGCTGATAGCAAAATAATATAATTTATCCTTGAGCTGCATCCTTGCTTTTTAACATTTTTAACATTGTGTGATCGTTTAATCAGAAACATTTTCAACATTTCTTAATTAGTAACCACATTAACTGTCAGTCATAGACATTCATTTAATTTCTTGACTGCAGTCCCAATAGTTTTTTGTTTTTGGACGACCAGAAGGACCTCTATTATACATGGGAATGTCAACATCGGGTACAGGACTTATTTTTTGTCATGAGATTAAACGTTTTGTTCAGTTTCCCTGAAAAAAACAAAGGAGAAAGAGCAAAATAATTTGAAGTTCACATTTACCAAATTTTAAACTAGTCATAAATGCAGCGCCGAGACTCTGAGTACACGGGAGGGAGAGGCGTGGTCAATTGGGCTGTGTGGGCGTTGCCGCTGTATGCAAACGATCCACGCCCCCAAGCGCCTTTCCCCCGTGAGCGGTGACGTCACACGAGCGGCCCGTGTTGGTTCCAGCTGACTGGCAGAGAGGGAGAGAGAGGGAGAGAGAGGAAAATAAGAGCCATCAGCCCCATCTATCCGTCTCTCATACTACTGGATATTATTATTTTTTCCTGGGGATCTCTTTATTTCCGTCATCTTGTCATTTTTTCGCCCCTCTTTTTGTTCTTCGCTCTTTTCTGTCTTGGAGACTTCCCACCGCCGCGACTCGACTGTACTCCGCTGTTTCTACTGCCTTTATTTCTGCTCTCTTAATATTGTTTATAGCTCCCTCTGGACTCACCGAGCGATCGACCGACCAACTAACCGACTGACAGCTACTCCTGGAGGATGAATTAGACTCGGTCAACATGGTGCCATTTTGGATATAAATCCTCCCTCTTTTTTCTTTTTTGTTTCGTTTTTTTTCTTTCGCACATTTTCTTGCATGGGACTGGCGACAATCAGGTGGACACCCTGAGCGCACACGCGTCACCTGTCCGCGCACCTTTTGAAGGCGCGCCCGTCAATTAGCATCACTAAGTGGATTATTTTGATCTTACGGTCTCTTGCAGGTTGCCCCACTCCACTTCCTCCTACCCTCACCTCCTCCTGTCCTCCTCCTCCTCCTCTTATTCCCCCCGAGAAGTTATGTCAAGGCCTCTCACCCAGCTCCTACCACCGGATCTCCCTGCCGGGGCCACAAGCCCTCAGTTTGGGGCCAGCAACCCGGCTGGAAGCGGCCCCCAAGGTGGACACCTGACCTCTATGACCAACCTGAAGTCTCTGCTTCAGGTGCCAATCAAGGCAGACCAGAGAGGCCCCAAGGACTGTTGCGAGATGAAGGGTGAGTGTGGGCACGTGTACGCTTTTCTGCGCGTGTGAGTAAGGGATCCAATAGGAACAAACTCCTTAAAGGGCCACTAGGGAAATACCTCAGCCGTACAGAGGCCAATTTCATTGTATTGCAAGCGCAGTATAGGCCTGTATTATGTATGTGTGATGCATATAGGAAATGTCCACATTAAGTGCACTAAAGGAGAGTAAAGATAAACTTTATTTACAAAGCTTTTCGCACACATTTGCAAAATTTATCTGTAAATTTGTGATTAAGGACTTATTGGGCCACGTTTTCAATCCCTTTACTCAACTGAAAAAGCCAGATTTGGCCTTTGTTCCCCACATTTTCATATGTGGAAAAATGGCTGCTTGATTTTAAGCTGATTATATTAGGGTTTTGGACACATTACCAGGTGCTGTCATGAGGATTAAAAAAGAAGAAGAAGATAATTAAGAGATATTGAAAGAAATAAAGGGCTGCAGCTCTGATTTGAAAAACAAACAATAAACAGTAGCTTATATTCTTTGCAGAAATGTCACAGGGATTATTCATGAGTGTGTGAACGTGTGTGTGTGCATGTGACTGAGTGGGTAGGTGTGATTGTAAAACACAGAGGAGGCCCTGCTTATCCAACACACACTCACATGGACATTGTTTTCTTTGCAAGCTTTCCTCCTTCTGGCCTGCTGCATTTTTATATTAAACGCTTCCCTTTTGCATTTGGTGGTGGTGAAGTGAAATGATCTAGATGAGGAGGAGGAGGAGGAAGAGGAGGAGGGAAGAAGAGGGTGTAAAAAAAGAAACACAATCTGGAGTGGATGCCATCAAAAATCCAGCCAAAGCAGCAGAAGCAGCAGTCGTTTGGTTTGTTTAAATAAAGGTTACTGAGTGGGATTGAGTTATTTCCCATCCTCCAGCTGCCACAACAAATATTAACCAGCCTGCTTCTCCTTCCTCTCTCTTGCTGTGGGGATATTATAACTCCCAGTCAGCTGCTGTCACACGCATACGCACACTTGCGAGGCAGCGATTTGCATTGTTTCTCTTCCGCTGAGTACCAGTAAATTAAGTTAAACCTCAATTAAAACACATTTATTTAACACGAAGAGATAAAAAACATGTCCTCACAAGAACAGAAGGTTGTCAAGAGTCAGTGCCTCATGAGTGTGGATACAACTGAACACACACATTCACAGAGAGGGGTCGGGGGGCAAAGGAATGGCACTGTCCAGTGGCTCCCTGCATGTTGTTGGCCCCTGGTGGCTTTTTGGTGCCACTACAGCTCCTTTCTGTGGGGCAGGAAGAGGAGGAGGAGATGATGGTGAACACAGTTGACAGTCTCTCCATGGAGTCAGAAAGCAGCTCAGTACAGTATCCTCCTAATGAGAGGAGAGGCATTCAGGGGCATAAAGAAGATGTTTTTGCCCCTGATTTAGCTGCTGTTCCCCTTCCACAATGCAGCCCTTTGCCTTGCTGCTGTGTCCCCCCCCCGGCTAGCTTTGTTTGACGCCTTCACAAACACCCACTCTATGTAGCACATCTCCCTCCCTCTCTCTCTCTCTCTGTATTGCATGTCTTTGAGTTTTCCCTCTCACACTTTCCTGTCTTGCTCTCTTCTCGTCTTCCACTCGCTTCACAACAGTGGCCCCTCCGCTGATTTATATTTTCTCAGGTTTTTGTCTCCCTTCCTCTCTGTCTTCATCTTTTACTCTCATCACCCAGACTTATTTTTTTTCCAAAGCCATTTATTTGCATCCTCCTCCTCTTCCTCCCCTTGTAAATCTCTCTCTCTCTCTTCTTTTTGCACATTTCACTCCTATTTGCATGGATCATCTCTTCTTCCAAGCCTCCACTGCCACGTTTCCTCTCCTCTCTGCTGTGCTGCGGGTCAGTTCGCAGTCTGTCAGATTTTAATGACTTGTCCACTTGAGTTCAAAGTGTCACTTTGATTAAGCTGTGTCACTTCCACTTATTCCTCCCATCCATTCGCCCTCTGGTCCTCCTCACGCTGCTTTACAGAAAAGGGATTTCCCCATGTCTTTTAATGACTTTGCCCTCTGTTGCTTTTAGATTATCTTTTCATTTTCCTTTGCACTTGAATTACTTCACTTAAGCTCCTGTGATATCTTAGAAGTGTCTGCTCGACACTGTGGCTAGTTTGACTCAGCTGAACTGAGTATATACTTGAGAGTATACCATGTTTATTTTAATGCAAGAAAAAGATCTGCTGCTACCACCTTTATGTGTTTTTGCAATGCTTTCATGTGCTAGATACTGTCTGTCACAAAGCCTGATAGTCACTGCAAACCTTAAAGCTTATGCATTGTTGCATATTGTATGCTCAGGTTGGATGGTTGCTTTGCCCTTTTATTTCTTATTAGGAAGCTCTCGGCCTGCTCCAATCTCACTTACTGACCTACATCTGTCAAAAAAGTATAAGAAGTCATTGACTTTGATCCCAAGACTTTTTTTCTTTTGTCTGTCCCTAAAGCTTGGATTAGATTTGGAAAAAGGACGTTCCAATTTGCTTCTCCGTCGGCTTTAGATCAGTTGCAAAATCAACTAACTGTAAAGGAGCTGTTTTTCCTGGAAAAATTTAAGTGACCTGGAGGCATTTAGGCCGGATTCTCATTTATTTTGAATGACAATATGTACCGCCAAATAGAATTGTGAGTTCTTTCCTTCACGTTGGTCGCCCTGAAAAGTTGAGAAAAGTTCAACTTTGCAATTACCGACACCACTGCTACCAGTCACATCATCCATCCATTCATCTCATTTTCTTAACTGCTTATCCACTTCAGAGTTGTGCTGGCATGCAGCCTATCCCAGCTGTCACAGGGCGTGAGGCAGGGTACACAGTGGACAAGTCACCAGACTGTCACAGGGCTAACACACACAGACTAGTCAAATCAGGTCAAGTAAATATACAGAGAGCGTGAGGTGGCTGCTTTTGCAGTTTGGCATCAACACTTTGGAGAAATCGATCATTGTGGTGAATAATCAGCCCGCTATCTACGAACAAATTTCACAACAGGCAGGCCGATGAAAACTCGCTTAGCTTGCCTTGTTAGTGATTGGTTGTTGTTGCTATGGTGATTGCACCACCAAACGTAAGGAATAGCCATAAATCAGGCTGCAAATGTTCCACCTGAATGTTGTTTCTGGGATACTTCACTTATTTGTCTTCTTCTTAAGTTTATTTTGCATCTCTCTTTTTTTGCTCTTTTTATTTTAAAATCACGAACATTAGCTTTGAAGCATCTTAAACTACAGAACCAAACAGTCTCCAGAAAGCAAAGATTGTGAGTTTTGTGCTCTGGTTGTAGCTAAACTTACTACACTGGCAGCCAGATGATTAAGATACTGCCAGAGACAGATTATTTTCTACTCCTCCCACCTTCTGAGTACCTATCTGTCCATCCACTGCTGTGATCTCTCACGTCTTTATATACTTTAATCCGTTTAAATATAAGTTTCCAGCCTCACTGATACTCTCCCCAGCCTCTCACTTTTCTTCACAACTCACAGTCTGTCTCTGTGTCATTCCAGCTCTGTTAAATATGCTCTTTTAGTGCTGTTTTATGGGGCTTTATTCTTCAGCGTGCCACTTCCTCAATATGGGCTTTTGGCAATGTAATCCTTTTGAACAATATAACCAAAGGGGCAGAGTACAAAGCTATCATTGTCTATATTTCCATGAAGTGCTTCCCTTTATTTCCTGTTCTTTTAACAATCCCTTTTTTCTGGTGATGGTTTATTGATGGTTAATCTTTCCATCGGACTTTCACGATGAGGTCAGAGTGCAAGGTCGCTCAATTTATTTATAGGTGCCTTTTAATGATTGTGGCTAAGTGCTTTATAGGGTGATAAGGACATGTGTGCCAGGCAGTGGCACAAGCCTTTGTTGGGTCTTTGTTGGCTTGTGTGGCTTCTCTTTTTAAAATTATTTTCATGCTTTGTGAAGCAAAAGTCATGTCAGTCTGATCCTCTTTGAGCCGCAGTGAGCTGAATTGCACAAGAAACCAACCTCAGGCTGTATATCGATCAGATGTTACTTCAAATTCTCAAAGGATTCTTTTGAAATAAGCATGAAGCCATTGCTTTGTAGCTGACGGCAGGTCACCAGGGGTGTAGGTGACGCTATCATGTGTTTTTCAGCCAGTCATATCAACTTTATCTTTCGCTCCCAGACATTGACATTCAGTGATACATCCATGTCTCTTCCTGTGTGGACACCCCTTAATACTACCTGTATCCATGTTAAACTGTTTAGGATGCAGTGTTCAGCTCAGGATAAGCGATTCTTATCTTAAAGAAACCATTCTGATGTTTCCTCAGAAGCTGCCAGCTGGAGCACGTGACATTGTTGCTCTGAACTGGATGATACCACTTATGGTAGAGAGAGAGACGGGTCTTTAAACCAGGAAACTGTGGGTGGTGTTAGGGATTTTTGCATTTTGCACTGTTTTGGTTGGTTTTCTGCTTACTTTTGCTGTCACTTGTGTTTGATTAACCTCTTAACATCCATTCGATCACCAGTGACTTGGTTAGGGTTAAGTTCAGGCTCCCAGTGGTCCATCTATATGGATTTGTTTTTACCTCTTTTACCTCTCAGATGGAAATCATATAAAAGACGTTTAAATGCATGGAAGATAATGTTGTCTAGTTTCTGAAATTAGTCTTTAAAAACACGTAGCTGAAGAACAGCCTAACCCTACCCCTCAGTGGTTTGTCAGTGATACAGTGGCTGGCAGGAGGTTAACCTCGATTGTGTTTTGTGTTCTGGGAAGTTTCCTGGGTTTTGTTCGGAGACTCTTTGTAGTCCGATTGACCAGACATATTTGAGCAGGCTTTGGTTGTATGCATTTAAAAGGTCTATGTGGCGAACAAAAGAGGGCTGGTAATTACTGAATTGCATTGAATAACCAATGCATGATGACGATTCAGTGTTTTTCTAAAGATTCATCTGCATTCACAAACAATGTCTGGCAGATAGAAATAGAAGATGTGTCCTGAACATCTGCTAGCAACAGTGGAAATCCAGAAAATCTGTCTGAGTCCCCCAAAGGAAAAACCAGTAGTTTCCCAGATTCTTGTTTGCTTACATTAAGGAACTGAAAGCAGTGTTTTAGGTTATGAACCTTCACAGCTGCACTAGTAAAAACGATGCTTAGGGGTCCTGAGCTCTATTGCCATTGCTGAGTCATCATGGGAAGAACATGATAAGTTTGTGCAGATGCACAAACCTATCTGTGCATCTGCAAAATAGCACATGCACAGATAAGTTTTTAGGTGTCTAATATATAGAGTTCTTTGTGATACAGATTCCACCAAAGGACTGCAATTAAACTACATAAATATGTGGATGAGAACTTTAGGGTTTTGTAGTTTGAGCCATTTTTGAAAGAAAACACTGAAAACGTTTGTTGTCTGATGCTGAACAAATATGAGTTATCGTTGCAAACACTTGAAAAAGAAGGATGAATGAGTTTCATTGCATACTTTAGTCAGAGCAGACGGAACAACAGAACTAATGTTAGCAGCTTAATGGAAGATATCTCATCCTCTTCTCTCTTCAGACAAAGACAAGCCTCTGGACTCCGATGAAGACTCTCTGGGTGTCAGTGCCGGTGGAGCAAATGGGGTGGGAGGAACCCCAGGCTCCGGCGCACTGCGACCCAACTCACAGTCAGCCTTCCTAGGCCCGCTGCTGTGGGAGAGGACCCTGCCGTGTGATGGAGGCCTGTTCCAGCTGCAGTACATGGACTTGGAGGAGTTCCTGACTGAGAATGGGATGGGGATGCACAGCAATGGGCCCAGCTCTGCTACTGCCCAGATCCCCTCGCAGGTAAAATAGATGGAGATCAAAAACCACAGGTTTATGAATCATACCTCAATTTTTCCAAACCAAAAGACGTTATAGTGGAAGAAGACAATTTAATGTTTATTCAGCACAGATGTTAATGAAACAGTTGCAGGAACATCATCATTTCCTCAAGAGAAGACCTCAGATGAGTGAGCTAATGCTAAACTGTGCTAGTTTACCAGTTATCTGGCCAGTCATCGTTTAGTCTTCATTGTCACAAAAGGAGCCAGCTGATTCTTCAATGCTTGCAGTGCAGGAGTGTTTCCAGGATTTTTTAATAAGGTGGAAATGCTCTTGTTACAATGCGGCTTCAGTTTCAAGATAAACATTCTTAGCTCGCTGTAACCCTTCAGTGTTAATTTGTTGTCAGCAGCCAAGGTGGCAAATGGAGCAGTTCAGTCTCTCACTACTCTTATCATATATATTTTTTTTACCTGAAAAACATCTTTGGCGTTCTGCAACTCATTCTGGTGGGAACTGCAGAGACTTGTGTTGATAAACTGAAACGACCTTCACTACGATCACTGGAAGTCAATTAACTGCAATTCAGTTTGTTTTTTGGAGATTTCAACGGTTATGTTTTTTTAAAACTACGTACGCTTTCCCGTTTATTTATTTTTTAGCTACTCGCAGTGTTCACTTGCAGTGCAGGCTCTGCATGCATTGCCATCCACCTCTTCTTATTTGCATTTGCAGTAGTCTGAGCAGTAACCATATTATAGCCACGGATTCACTAGCAGCTGCAGCTGCTCACAGCCTGCGGCTGCATCCAAAGGAGGAATGAGCGAAATAAAATACATCATGTAAAGAGCGACATCATCTCTGCTTTCTGTGGCATCTGTAGAGCATTTTTCTTAAACCTTGTAATATATTAGAACTCTACTGGAATAACATAGAAACAGTCCAACAGACTAGCAAGGAATGTAAAAAATATTGAAATGCAATGTAAAAGTAGGAAAAGATCCTGCTGTGAGCGTTTGGACGCACTTTGTAATTCAGATAATTAATGAATATTTCAAACATGAAGCATGATTTTAAAGTTTAAATCATGCTGGCATGATGTAAGTGCACCTTTAACCTTTCTCTGCACAGCTTGCTAGCTGCTTAGTTTGCTGGCTAATGTCTATCAGTCCCATTGTTTCTTCTGAATTGTGAATAAGTCACGATCATAGGGCCATGCACTACACTGTGAGATTAATCTTTGGACTTTAAGCTAACCTTATACTGCCATTGCTCTGTTATAAGCTAATGAACTATTTTAATTTGAAGAAATCCTTAAAGCACTAATGAGATTTCAAAAGAACCATTCCTGGACACTGCTGGAGCAGCACTGCATGATTCATCATTGAAAATAGTACTTTCATATCACATACTTTCATTTCACATTCATCTTATCCTGTGTATTTGTGTAGCACCTCTGTTCATCTTCTATTTGACACAAGCTGTTTTAGCTCCTCCCGCTTTAAGCCAAATTTCTTCTGATTACAATTTCTGCTTTTGTTTGTGTTCTCCTCCCAGAGCTCCCAGTCTGCGGTGCCTAACCAGAGTTCTCAGTGTCCTCCCACCTCTCCTCCGCCCTGCTCCTCCTCTTCCTCCTCCATGTCCTCCTCATCCTCTTCTTCTTCACTGCTTGGATTGGAGACCGTCCAACCACAACCACAGCCGCCACCACCTCAACAGCAGCAAAGCATGATGGGAGGACCTGAGTGTCTACATGGTGAGTGATTGGGAATTTTAAAACAGTCCTTACATTTAGTTAATTCTTGTGTGAGAATTGTATGTTATTTATTTTTTATAGTGTGATGGTAAACTGAATATTTTGTGGTTTTGTTTGTTATGGTCAGGCATAAAATAGACATTTGAAGGTTCTCAGTTGGTCCTTGGAAAGTAGTTTCTGTGACATTATTTAGCAAAATGAGCTACAAAATTATTCACAGGTTCATCTATAACACCTTTTTATTGAATGTGATGTTGCTGCTGAGCAGTTTTATACATTTTGACCCATTAAAATGGGCATTATGGGAAATTAATATAATGCTTCCTGCTAGTTCATCCATGACTCCCGTCTGAAGTCTTTTTTAAGGTGGAGAAGCAAGTTAGTAGCTAAATCTGGCAAGTTTGGTTAGCAAGCACCTATAAACTGTACTGGTGCAAACTGGGCTACCTACATTACACTTACAGGAGCTGTTCAGCCATGGGAGCCTATACCATGAAGCTCCTGGCAAACATTTATCATGATGTTAATGTCAGATGTGCGCTTATTGAGTCCGCTAAGACTTTTATGCACCTCACATCTCAGCACTCAGTAGCTCTGTAACTTTGAGGCTGAGTTGTTGTGCTTCTAAATGCTTCTACTTTGCAATAATAGCAGTACGAGTTGATCATTTATAATCTAGAAGGAAAGAAATGTTCACAAACTGACTTGTTGTAACAGTGGAGTCTTACAGTACCAGTTCAAATCCAGTGAGCTCGGCTCTTTCTTTCACAAATGTTTATAAAGGCAGATTGAATGGCTAGGTGCTCGATGTTATATATAGGTGTCAATGGGAGTAAAATCACCGAAATTTAAAGCTACTAATTAGTTATAATTAAGTTACTAATTATGTTACTAATTAAATAACATACAAATAGCATACTATTATCTAATGAGCCACAGCTAGAGAGCAGACTTCTTGAATCAGCTGTTGTGAAAAATTAACCAGATATCAAGTCATGTAATTTTGAAGATAATTGCATTAAAATGCTTCAAAAGGCATGACAAACTGTTCAGAGCTGCAGTTAAGGGTCAACCCTGTTCCTAATGTTAAGTCTGGAAAAAACTTAAAGGTTGAGTTATAAAAAATTTCAACCCTTGTACAGTTGTTATGAAGGCCAAACACCATCCACAGACACTAAAAGCATTTTCCACCTGGCTGCAAACATCTTTACTTCTGTTGTAAAGCAGGACTTTTTATCGTGGGTGTCCATGAGGACTGGCTCGCTTTGGAGCCTGCCTCAAGTGGCCACTAGAGGTATTGCAATTTTTGGCAAGCTGCTTGTTAATCCATTTAGCTCTTTTATTTTATTTTATTTTATTTTTAGTCTATTTAGCTTGTCAGATATTGTTTACCATGTATAATGGTTAGCTGAATTTTGCCCTCCTGGTCAGAAAAAGGGAGACTTTGTATCATTACCTCTGGATGGATGATTTTCATGACTAAGAAAGTCATATTTTATTTATTTATTTTTTACCAATTTTCACAAATTAATATGTTGTCCAGAGGTTATTTACTTAACCTACCAGTCAAAATACTACTAACCAGAATGTACGGAGCCCCGCAGGGGACATGGGAGAAAAAAAAATTAAGACGGACTTTTGGGAGATCTCG